ATATATACACACACACACACATATATATACACACACACACACACACACACACACATACAAAAACGCCTACAAAATGTACAATAATCACTTCAAATAAATTACAGCTATAGCACATAAAAACAAATGTGCTCACTTATTTCAGGCCTATTAACAAACAAATAAATAGACTGTAGCCGATGCCAACATATAAAATAAAAGACCTGGCTTTGTTGAGACTGTCAACATGCACCCTCTCCACACAACAAACAGCGCTGTCCATTTGAGGATAACTAATAATAATTCATGTTGATGCCCAATGAATAATGTAAGATTACTATTCCTTAGTTCATGGGCTATTGGGGGCTTTTGGGGTAATGCTTAGCCTATGTAAAAATCATCTTAGCCCGGTTACTCAAGCATTTCAAATGAAGTCTGATATATCTGTGGATACCCTTCAAACATTACATTTACGACGGCATCACCCGAATGTGTCGCTGAACAGAACGAAACAAAAACAGACTGGAAGTCAGCACCTGCTCCAGACAGCATTCAGGCAGCCTCCAACTGCAGATTCAGAGCGAGCCAAAGCAACTGCATTTATGCAAACCACATTATGGTCAAAGCGCTTGAACCCGATACAATGCGTCTGTGTCTGTTATGTCTGCCCTGTATAAATGACTGCAAGCTGCAGTTCAGGAATTATCAACAGCTTTACGATGGAGCATTACATTTTTACTACAGATATTGAGATATTTATTATTTCTTAATGACAATATGTTATTATTTATGGACAATGAGCCTCTGTTGAATGTTTACATTTGTAATAAATGGGAAAACAATTGATTCTTTACTATTATTAGTAATTATGTTTTCTCTGCTGTACTGAAAACATACCTAACCTTAACCACAAAACCGAGGTACATACCGAACCCTGAAGTTTATGTTCCGATCCACCTCTACATGTAACTCAATCTCATTCAAAGGTAAGAGACTCCACCCAGTGCCTTAACACTGTGTGTTGCTTTTGCTGTATAACCACACAACTACAGCAAATCTACACAAGATTTTCTGCAACGGTAACACCAGACGTCCCTCGTCTTTGCTATTATCAGTTAATATATTTTGAAGTGGTTCATTTTTATGTTAATTGATTCATTATTGACATCCCTAGCAGTGACCAAGTTATTTTTTTTCATTCCAGTTTTGTTAAGTTGTGCAATGTGATGAACGCTTGTCGGCTCATTTTTGGGTGCTGGAGTTCAGTGCTTCACTCTGCCTTTTTCATACACATATGATATGATTTGTTTTTTACGTGCATGTAAAGGCCATGAAAACCAATGTCATGTCTGATTTGCTTTCTGTATTGATGAATCGATCACAAGTCAATTAGGTTGGCAATCACTGCTTTATAACGTCACCCCTGTCTGGCTTTAGAGGCTGGAGTGAAATCCAAAATGAAGGTTTGGTTACATTATGTGCAGACAAAGAGCAGAAAAAGACGGTGTTGAGGTTCCTCCGCCCAGTCATGGTGGTGACTTACATGTTTTTGTCGGTCAGGTCCTCAAAGTTGTATCCACGAATGCGTTGGTGGGTGTCGGATGCAAGGACGGTCCGGCCGTCACTCAGACACCACAGGCACTGCACCCGAACTCCTTCCCATGAGTCCAGCAGGTTTCCATCCATGTCCTGGGAGTCAGGAGGAAACATAATGCATCCAGGAACACCCTCAGCATCAGACTGCTACAGGGAAATCCCACATCATTCCATATTTGATTGGCCGTCAATATGTTCTTTTTTTTATTAGAAAACAATCAGTTTATCATTACTTAAAAACTAAGAACTAAAGACATTATTAGGTCTAACACTCAGCACTGTAATCATTTTGAGTGACAGAGTAGGGAACAGCAGGCAAGTTGAGGTCCAAGTACTCTTCATTTGAGGAGTACTTAGACCTCCTACCCCCTCACTAATCCAAACTGGGGATACTGAATAAATGGCCATGAAGCAACAATAACACCAGTTTTTAATAGGATGTCTCCTTTTTCTAAATCAAAAACTTGAGCCATTAGACTAATTTGAAAGATGCTAAAATCACATTAACTTTCTACTCCCGGGGACTTTAAGATAAATGGATTCCTTTTTGGGTCATAACCATGCCTTATCTGTTCTGAAAACCCCCCAGAAATAATTAAACTATTAAATAACTATTTAAGAAACATTATTGCATTACTTTGGCAGGACCTTCACAGATTATGATTATATATCTACAATTATCTATCCTTCTGTCACTCAATTGGAATTCTTATTTAAATGACTAATATTTCAGGCTTCAGCCTTCCACAAACCTGCAAATGATAAGCTCTCTAGGGATGCTAGACAACGCTAACAATTATTGTCAATTATTATCAATTTATCTGACAATTTTTTCCTCAATCATTCGGGCTATAACAAGTCAGAAAATAGTGAAACATTCCTCACAACTAAAGATGGCAGTGACACACAACCTCTACAGTAGTGCTGC